GTCCTGCCCAGACCACCTTCCCTCCGTGCCAGAGGGCGCCCGCCCTGTAGATGACCTGGCCAGGCACACACAACCCTCCATGTGAAACCTACAGCGGCGACGAATCTACATCAGTCACAGGCGCGTGGGCAGGTGGCTTCAGGAGGGTTTCAGACACAGACACGCTGGGACACGGGACGCACTGGGACACACGGACGTGCTGGGACACGGATGAGCTGGAACACGAGATGCACTGGGACACGGGGCGCGCTGGGACACGAGATGCACTGGAACACGAGATGCGCTGGGACACGGGGCGCGCTGGGACACGGGGCATGCTGGGACACGGGACGCGCTGGGACAGGCCCGGAGCTCTGCGCTGGGGGAAGGGCCCTGTCTGAGGCCCCTGCTCTGCATTTGCCGCGACGGCAAGAGGCTGGCTCCCCGGCAGGAAGCTTCTGGGGTCCCTGTGCCTGAAGAGGAGCCAGAGCCGGCTCTGCGCTCCCAACATGTTCCCCACGCCAGGCGAGTGGCCTTTGGAAAGCCCGTCCTCGCCCTGCCACCGCCGGCCCCGGAGGGAGATGGCCACGTGGCTGGAGTGTCTGTCCGCCGAGGGCACAGGGCGAGGCCTGGGAGGGACTTCCTTCTGGGTGTGAGGACTGAAGGGCCCCTTTCTAAGAGCCCAGCTCGGGGCCGAGGGAGGAACTGGGGGAGGAGGAAGGGCTGACGGAGATGCTCCCCCAGCTCCTCCCTCTCCAGCGGCGCCCAGGGGTCCGTGTGCGCTTGCCGTCCCCGCTTCTTGTTTTAAAGCGGAAGTGGAGGCCGGGGCGGGCCTCGCTCTCCTAGGCTTTGCTGTAACCACTGAGGACACGGCAGTGAGACCACGGAGCAGAGGCGCCCGACCTCAGACCCGCGGGGCTTTCTGGGCGGTTGCTGATGCCAGGCGCCGGGGCGTCCTGGGTGGAGGCTGGGGAGGCCCTGGGTGGAGGCCCCGCCTGCCCCTGCTCAGGGCTCCGTCCTCCCGTCTGGGCCGGCTGGTAACCGGCCCTGGGCGCATGCATGGCCATTGCTGTCGCTCTATTTGCTTAAAGTCCTCACAGCCTGGGTGACGTGAGCCGGCAAGCACACGGGGTGACACGGGCACTGACACGCAGGCGTGTGCACGGCTTTGGGGCCCCTCGGGGAACAGTGGGAACGGACAGCAGCCCTGCCTCTGGGAAGAGGTGCGGATGCAAGGAGCCAGCGCTGCTGGGGGCTCGCGTGGGCCCCTCATCTGGAGCTTGGCCTCTGCAGGGCCCGGCAGGGAGCTCTGTGTGGCCTTTGGCGTGAAAACAGCAGCTCGGGGACGGGAACACAAGACATGCTCCCCCCCGCCCTCCCCCCCACACACACACGTGGTTAGGGGAGCCCCCTCGGCGTGCACGCGGCCAGGGCCCGTCCCTCGGCTCACCTCGCTGTCCTGGTGGTTGACCTCGCTGCAGTCGCACTGCTGCACCAGCACCGTCAGCAGCCTGCAGAGGGAACGGAGGCAGCTCAGAGAACAGAATCCACGCGACTCAGAGGCCAGACAGCGCGGGGCCCACGGCCTCCGAGTGCGGACGGATCTCGGGAGAAGTTCCCGGAAAGACAGCGTGGAAACCCGCCGGGACAGAGCCCATCTCCTCCTCTCCCGCCTCCTCTGGGTCTTGGTGCTCCTGGGGTAACGGGATGAGGGGAATCCTCGGGCCCCAGCCCCGGCCCCGTGGGGGGTTGTGGGGGGAGCCGCACCCTCTGGCGCTCCGTCCCTCCCGCACACGCAGCCTCCAGCTGCCCCCACCGGTGCGTCTCGCCTCCCGGGAGTGGGCCCACCAGCAGGCGGCATCGGCACTGCGGCTTCCTCTTTGTAAAACATGCAAACGGGAAATGGCAGCCACCCCGGGCCCCCCTCACCCCGGGCCCCCCTCTGTTGGGGTCCAACCCCAGCAGGTCTAGGGGTCCCCAAAGGTGTGGACGAAGTCGGCGAAGAAGGAATGACACGGATACAGCGTTCAGTTGATCAGCAGCCTTGCCAGGATCTCTAGGAGGATCTCTAGCCAGGTTCTCCAGCCAGGTTCTGTGTCCTGTTGTCTTGTTACATCTGTATTT